CGATAATGCCCGTCCGCACCGCGCCAATATCGTAAATGAGTATTTTAGGGACCACCATATTGAGAGAATGAATTGGTCACCTTTGTCTCCGGATATGAATCCTATTGAGCATGTGTGGAGCAGGATGAAACTGAAGATGAAAGAGAGGGAAGGACGCATGGAAAATTTGGATGAATTGGTAAATGCTATTCAAGAGGAATGGGATACCCCAGGAATTTATAAGGAACTTGGTCGAGGCCCAGGTGGATTAACGAATTATTACGGGTTAGGGGAGGGCCAACGAAATATTGAAAGTTATTATTTTTTTACATACGTTTGTAACATTTTTGAACATGTTGAAGTTTTGATTATGATTATATCTTCGCATAACATTTTCCAAAATGAACAAAATTTTTATTTAATTTTATTACCAATTAGGTAGGTACTTATCAGATATCACTAGTGCGCAATGTAAATGTAAGTTAAATGTAACATTATCCTAACCACTGAAACAAATTGCAGTAATTTTGACCAAAAAATGAATCCCCAAATGGCATTTTAATAATAAATATGCAAGAAACACGCCAGCAATCGGATTTTATTAAGACATTTAACAGCCGGGAATTGTTTTCGAATTTTGATTCTTGGTGATTTCGGTTTTATCTGAAACTTAAATTTGACAACTGAATCAGGAGGTCACGAACGTAAATATCGGTTCAGGTTTAGTTTTCGCAAATATTCACCAAAATGTCATTTTGAAAAAGTGGTCTTTGCTTAGGCCCCTCTGAAAATAATGGAAGTTTGTTGCTTGTCGCTTGTTCAAAATTATTCAAGGAACAATCTTTCACCATTTTATCTTTTTGTTCTTAAAAAGACTGAGTGTATTGCCTACCAAAAACCCTTAAATGTACTCTTTTGGAAAATCGTTGCTAAGATCTCCACAATAAGTTCAAGAAACTACAAATAGAAATAAAAAATCTAATACGAAGAAAGAAAAAGAAATATGCACAAAAACAATTTGAATACTCTGATGGATCAACTAGAAAACAGTGGAAATTGATAAATAGCTATTTAACACCAAGAAACAACATAAATTATACAATACAGTCAGTTCTTAATGATAATATGGAAGAAATTAATAATCCCCAAGATATATCAAATTATTTTAATGAACCTTTTTATAAATATAACAAGAACTCTTAACTGCAATAAAAACTCTAATATAAGAACTACTCCAACTATCCCTTGCCAAACAAGTATGTATCTAAAGAAAACTAATCCAACTGAAATTGAAGACATTATTACAAAGCTAAAAAACAATGCTGCTCCAGGTGATGACAAAATTAAGCCAAAAGTTGTGAAAAAGCTCTCAAACACTCTAAGTCCTATTTTATCAACAATAATTAATCAACATCTCCAAGAAGGAACCTTTCCTGACATTCTTAAGATAGCTAAGGTGACAGTGATCCATAAGTCAGGCTCAAAAAAGCAACCAAATAATTATAGGCCTATATCAGTTTTATCAGTATTTGCAAAAATCTTTGAAACTGTATTAAAGAATAGATTACTGAATTATCTAAATAATTTGAATTTCTTTAGTACAAATCAAAATTGTTTCCTTAACAAGCGCAACACCCAAACTGCAGTAACCAGCTTAATGGAATTCATCTATAATCAAGTGGATAAAGGGCATACTGTCTTAGCATGTTTTCTAGATTTGCATAAAGCCTTTGATGTAGTAGACCACAAAATTCTAATAAGAAGAATGAAAGAAAATGGCATTGTGGAGAGAACAGTAAACATTTTTTAAAGCTACCTAAACTGTAGGGTCCAGTATACAGTAATAAATGGCACTAACAGCAGAAAACTTACAGTCACCAGTGGTGTGCCACAGGGAAGTGTACTAGGTCCTATTTTGTTCCTAGTTTACATTAACCAAATTAACAATATTGGACTACAAGGTAATATCACACTATATGCAGATGACACCGCCATTTTTTACTCTGGCACCCTTTAAGCAATGTTCAACTGTGCACAAGCTGATCTAGACAACATTACCGCATGGACCCATAACAGCAACATCAAACTGAATGAAAAGAAATGCAATTTCATGATTTTTAATAGCAAAATTTCAAGCACTAATTTTACACACACTATTAATAACAAATCATTATGTGAAGTAAGTAGTGCTAAGTACCTCGGACTAATACTCGACAAGGATCTGCTTTTTAACAAGCATATCGAATACATACAAAGTAAGTGTAATAAAATGATGTATACTTTGTGGCATACTTCTTTTATGTTTAACAAGAACACTAAGTATAAGATATACTATGCTAATATCAACTCCATACTGAACTATCTAAGTGCATTCTGGGGACAAGCTCGAAAACAAGATTTGGATAAAATACAAGTCACTCAAAATAAGATTATAAAAACCCTTTTCTGTAAACCACCATTAACTAACACCAGGGATTTGTATAATGAAATAAAGTTGTTAAAAATAAATGAACTTGTAAAGTTGGACAGCATTAAGTTAATTTATAAAATCAGGCATGATATTGTAAGTACTAATATTCAGCTACAACAAAACTGTGATATTCATGAATATAACACGAGGACAAATCAACATTTCCATATGTTACCAAATGTTACCAACATTGGAAGAAAACGCCTAACTTATAATGCTACTAAACTCTTTAATGAACTTCCCAATGAAATAAAAGCTTTATCAAATCTACAAACCTTCTCAAAGGCTGTGAAAACTCATTTGTGTAACTTAAGACTTTAAAATTTAATGTATGTTATATTAACAAGTTAAGACTTAAAATTTAATGAATGTGATATTAATAATAATAATTCTATTACTAATTTAAGACTCAAATTGTATGTGATACTAGTAATAATCTTGATTGCCTATATATATTGTTGTATTTTATGCCTGTTATAAACATTTATGTTTTTTTGGGTTTAATAAATGAAATAAAAAAAAAATTCGAAAAATTTGAAAACTTTTTCAAGGTAAGACATAATACTTCATTATTTCAAAGTAAAAATTAGAAAAAATATTTCTTTTTTCAAACGGGGCTTGGATGAAGTTATTGAAATTTTTCACCGTTTTACATATCACCCTGTACGAAATTTACTTGAAGAACCGTGAGCTTCATATCTATAGCATGAATTGCCAGAGGATGGGGCTAGCAGACAACACAGACCAAAATAAAATCGTTTAAGAAACAAAAAAGTGATGTCGTTTTGAAAAAGGACGAACTTTTTGGTCGCGACACATGAGTGTTGTGAAGTTTATATAGACTATAGTTATAACACCGCGGTGCTGTATTAACATAAATGTTAATACAGCACCGCGTTGCCGAATATGTTTGCGGCCCGGTAAAATATTCTTACTGAATTAAAATAAAAGGAATAATTATTATAATCATAACATATTATTATAATCAGCGTCGGAAATTCACTTTTTTCTCGATATCAGTGTACGTTAAAAATTTGTAAATTTTCAAAAAAAATTAAATTTTGTGTTTTTAAATAATCTTAAGAAAATATTTTGATAATTTCCCAACGGTTTTTTTTTCGCCGGCTCAATATTTCCGGAAATTTTAAAACCCTAATTTATACACATACAAAAATTTAAGAAATATAATTTTTTATTTTGTATGCCTAACATAATTTTTTTAAGAAAAAAGAACTTGAAACCGAATTAATCATATTATTATAATTTTATCTATTATTTATAAAATGACGTTTAAATATATAATATATATATATATTTAATATATTAAAAATAATAAATTGGTTAAAATGGACTATTTATATAAAAAAGATATTAATTTTCAATTATGATAGATCGGCAATTCCACGTTACTCTTCAATTCTTGTAGCGTTTGTAGTAATAAAAAATTGTGAGGAAAAACTACTGTAATTATTATGCTTACAAGCATAAATTATGCTGCATAATAAACATGTTTGCAATAGTTCCCGCGGTTAAAAAAAATTAAATACGCATGAATAATACCTATTAATTTTATTATACGAGTTAAGCAAAAATAGCAGTATTTTCCATGAAATCTGTACTATGCTCAACATCAAAACGTTCCACCTTGGCATGTGAATATAAATAATTAACAAATTATTGAGGTTACCTATCTGTCAGTTTAACGCTAATTTCGTCTTATATTTCTGAAAATGATACAATACCTATATGTATCTTTTGTGTTCTAAATATGGACCTTTATACACATATTGTATTATTTTCAGAAAAAGACGAAATTAGCGTTAAACTGACAGATAGATAACCTCAATAATTTGTATGAAGCATCAAAAACAAAATAAATATTTTTTGTAAGCATTTAAATTAAATAAGTACGTCACAATTTTATAGGTTAAAACCTTTTTTATTTATTTATTGAAATCCTATAAAAAATTTGATATGATTATGATTCCAATAAATAAAAAAAAACATAAAAAAAATATTGACCTGTATAATTTTTTATTTATTGAAATCCTATATAAAATTTGATATGATTATGATTCCAATAAATAAAAAAATAACATAACAAAATATTGACCTGCATAATTAATCACATTGTAATTATGAAAAAAATGCTTTTCTCGATTTTTATGTAAAGAATGTTATATTCTCGCACGCAAAATCGTTGAAGAATGAAGCTCATTCTTAAACTATTTTTGGTAACATTTAGTTTTTAAGTATTGGTACCCCCAAAATGTCAAACTGATTAATAACCTCAAATTCATTACTTTTATTGAAAATGAAGCCTTTATTATTGTTTTGTAATATTAAGTTTGCTCCAACAATGCATTTTAATGCAAAATTTTAAGTTGAATTTAAAAAAGTGCAGTTGAGGTTGTACTTGTGCAGGATAACAAATATTGTCATTTTGTGTTGCCAACTGACATTTTGCGAGAAAAATCCCCTAACTAACAACGACCACAAAACAATTAAAAAAACCTAAATAAAAGTTAAAATCATTGTTTACTTTACTTACGAGCTACTTCAAATATTTCTGCAACAACAGTTTTCTGTTGATTTTCATAGGCTTCATTAATTTCAGCATATTCTTCATTCAGACTGACCAATTTGGAATTATTGAATCTTACGCCCCCTTTGACAACATCGATAATTTTGTAACTCTTTGCGTCTCTTAAAGCTTGTTCTTCTTTTAAAGTGACCCTAAAGAAATAGCCATGTTGATCGTTGCATTCTAGCTTAATAGTTTTTCCTTCATCGAAATTTAACTCAATTGCTGCTTTTCTAAGCAAGGATTGGAATTTTTCTTGAATTTTTTGCTTCTTGTCATATAATTCTAAAAATAATTATTAATACTATGCAATTTTAAAGGAATAGGTCATTATTAAACGTTAGGGCGAAATTTTTGAAGATATGTTGTTACTATAAAACTAATTTTATGACAGTTATAACAATTAATAATTATTATAATAATTATTATTACTTAATTTTATTGCTGAGAACTATCATTAAATTATTATTTTAGGAAGAACACATCTTAAAATTTTTTTATAAAACATTTTGTTTTCTTTCTGTTGGTCCCGTTGGTATCATGGAATCGCCCGTTAGTTGAATACATTTGTCGGAATAAGTGAAATCAGCACAAAAAAGGCTACCTTACTTTTTATTAAAATATTGAACAAAGATTTAATGTATAACTAGATAAAAAACAAACACTGTCTTTTGAGTTTCAGGAATAATAACAAACTTATATAACACAATTATTGCAGGTAACACAGTACGATAAAATGTGATTTTTGGTCCCTCCCATGAAAAATTTCTACAGATTCTAAAAATAGAGTTAAAAAAGTGATACCCGTGTTTTTTCACATCACGTCATAATTTTTTTTAAGGGCTATCCAATAAAATGTTATTCACACTATTCGCGACATAACAGCTGCACTGCATAGTTAAAAATATATATATTTACTAAATGGATAGGCAACCATTATAGATGCATTTTAAAATTATTTTAATCTTATACCTAGAGAGTTTTGCACATTTAAGAAATATATCAAACGGTTTATTCTTAAACCAAGTAACAAAATGTTTCAATTTTAAGCCAATCAAAATGCTTTAAAGTCGGGTGATTAAAATTTTTATTTATTCAATTTTTTGTATAAATTGAGCTTTGTTGAATTAACATTTTTAATACTAAAAATCAAAAGATATTTAAATTAATTGATTTAAGTCTTAAAGCAAGTGTACCTAAAACATATTTAATATAAGTAAAAAAAGTATTTAAGTATACGAAGTCAATTGAAACAGCAAAAAAACAAAAAATTTACACATCTGCGGCATTTATACATAAAAAGCATTGTTTTCAAAACAATCTTTATACGAGGGCTGGTCAACATTTATTTCATTGTTTTAATGTACTATATTAATGCGCCATGCACTTAATTGATTGCACCCTATATTTCGTACTGTTTCAATTGACTTCGTATAGACTATACTTAAATACTTTTTTTTTAAATGTTAAATAAAAACATTATTGCAGCGATAAATCGATAAATTTTTCATATTAATTTTGATTGTTGAGTTAACCATCCATTTGAAATTAAAGTAAAAATGCAGTGTCCGAATCGAAATAATTTTTGTTATGTACGTGGTTTATTTGCACCTCCAAGCAATATGCGAAATATTACAAAAAGTGTAGTAACAGCTTTTGAAGACTATTTTTTGGTGACGTACCTATATACCAAACTTATGGTATGTACCAGAGGTTTTATGCGATTATTGTTACCGTTGTTTGCATGGATTGCAAGATAAAACACACAGTATGAAATATGTTGCACCAACAATTTGGCTTCGACGTACCGAACACGCATCTGACTAGTGTTATTTCTGCATGTCAAAATTAAAAAGTTTTGGATATCGGTACAATACTAGAGAGAAAATTGATTACGCCGATGTGGAATCCGTCATTCTCGCAAGAGTGCGATCTGAAGATTATCCAACTGCTCCTTCAGAAAACATATCTGAGGATAAAAGTAAAAGACCTTTAACACAGTACTACCATTTTTTCCGAGATGGAATCTGAATTTATTTCCTGTAGTTCGGGTTATTTATAAAGTACATTTTATAACCCAGGCTGATTTCAATTATCTTGTTCGCGATGCCAATTTATCAAGAACTACAGCGGAATTGGTTGCATCACGGCTCTGACAATGGAATTTAGTTGCCGATGACTTTAAAATAACGGCAATCCGAAAACGAAATATTTGCATGTCGTTTGACAAATATTTTGCTTCACATGAGGATTCTGAAAAGAACCTGGCTTATTGTGTATTTCAGAAGAATGGCGATTCTTCATTGATTCCTCTGTGAATAGCTTAAAAGTAGTTTTACTTCATATTGGAAACAAGTATCCATCTGTTCCAATCACCTATGCCACAAATATGCCTGAAAATTATGACAATATGAAGCTAATTCTAGAGCTGATACACTAAAATCAGCACGAATGGAAAATTTGTTGCGATCTGAAAGTTGTGAAACTGTGAGACACGAGTACGTTTTTTTACCTCTATTTTCAAAATCTGCTAAAATTTTTCATGGGAGGAAAATCGTGTTGTACCATTTACTCAATGGTTGTACTGTGTAATTGGTTTAAAAAAATATATTAATACAGTATGACAATTTTAGCTTTCGAAGTATAATGTGGATGTTTAATTTTAAGTGGTCTAACATGAAAAAATTCTAATATTGGTACCTATCCGTAGATGATATCTTAACATGTTTCACAGGTACCAAAAGACAATTAAATAGCTTCCCTAAAGTTTATTAACGAGATACACCCTAATATCAAACTAACAATAGAAGAAGAACAAAATAATCAAATTAACTTTTTATATTTTACCATCCAAAAAAAGAATAGCACTCACACATTTAAAATTTAAAATAAACCTAGTTACACAGACATAAAAATACATAATAGTTCCTCACATCCTTTAAAAAAAAAACAGCAGCATTTAATTCCATGATACACAGACTTTTAAACTTAGGTACCTATGACAGATTCACATTTTTATGATGAATTAAATTTGATCAGATAAATTGCAGTTAACAATGGTTATAGCGCACAATTAATTAATATACCAATTCACAAAAAACTGAAAATGGCTATAAATCAAGTCTTTCCAATACAAAAAACCCACATTTACAAATAACATTGTCACATACTTACTTAGGCAAGAATTTCTTTAAAAAGAATAATATTCCTATTGCATTTAAAACCAACAACAATTTAAGTACATTTGTAAAAAACAACAAAGATACAAAATCCAGAATTAATAACAGAAAATCTTTTATCAATCAAAAAACAGATTTAACTTATGCCAACCACTCATTTAACAATAAATTCTAAATTTTACATGTAGCACATAAAGGTTCGAAGTTAAATTAAAATCATTAGAAATTAATATGTTAAAAAAATTTGATATTATCCTCTGTTAATTTTATTCTAATATTATATAAAATAGAAAATTCCCCAAAATTATTTTATTACAACTGTTGTTACATTATACTTCGACAGGTAAAATTGTTATACTGTACTAATATTAAAAAAAAACATTTCCTGCAATAATTGTGTTATATAGGTTTGTAGATAAAGAGGCTACTGTGTAAGCGAAACAATTATCAAATTAAATTAAAATAAATTTGTGTAACTTAAAAACCAGTTTTTGTTTTTTTATCCTAGTTACATTAGTGACATGGATTTTCATCAAGTAAAGGTGGAAACAATAAAATAAACAAAGATTTATTTTATTATAAAAATTACCCGACCAAATTAAAAAGGATTATTATTTATATTTTTGTGTCTTTCAAGTAAAATATCTATCAACAACACCGAATGCATGTTGTGATAGAAAGACAGAATAATTTAGTACTGCTTTGACTAAAGAATAAAAATTAAATGGTTAAAAACTAATATTTTTTTGTGATTTAAAAAAATAGGCATAAAACAGTCAAAATATTTTAAAAATATTACCTTTAAAGAATAATATACATTATGTATGTTAATTAAATTAGCACAGTAAACTTACCATTCAGTTCATCATCAAATGTTTTTTTGACAAAAAATTCCCCACGCTCCACCAAATCCATATCCAAAATTTGCTCGATCATAGTTTGATACCTTTCCAAATCCAACAGAATATCGCAAATTGGTTCCACTAAAGTACCAATTACACATTTATTCTCTGTATTTTTTAAAATGTTAACGGTACTGGGAATACTACCTATAGCTTGATAAACCCTATAACAATCTTGCAAATTTGCCTTTTTGGAGGATAATTTTTTTGAAAGAATCATCAAATCTGGCATACGCGTTAAGCAATCTTTCATTAGAAGCGACCTGGATTCTGAATCCTTAACGAGACATTCCACTATATCCAACCTTTCGTTAATAAGATTGTAATCTTTTAGAGGTTGCTTAACCCATTGCTCTAAAAGTCTACGACCTTGTGTGGTCACGCAGAAATCCAAAATACCAACTAAACAATTTGATTTTGAGGAACTAGGGAGCTTGGCGCAGTCTGAGAAATTTGAGCCAGCTTTCGGTAGAACGTTAAGAGCTTGCAAAGCTGCGTTATCCAAGCGAACAAACCTGTGTATGTCAAGGGTGCTTATTTTAAACTGATTAAAGTTCTTTTCGTCCCCTGTCAAATTAAGAAACCTTATCACTGCTCCAAGGCTTCCTATGGCTTCGGTTAAATTGACTTCTTGCAAAGTATTAGCGTTTCTTTCTTGGTCTTCAAGGAAGTACAGCAATCTGTTCAAGTCTTGTATTACGTCTTCCGAATTAAAATCGTTTTTTTTTACCTTGGCAACAAGGACTCCGTTTCGTTCTAGTACGGTTTTAAGAGATACCAAATCGGGGGAGTCACCCAGAGGTATTATGCATTCTTTTGGACTGATTTGCGCTATAAGAGCTTCTAGTTCTGAGTAACATTCGTTGTCTTCTATTTCGCAAACTTCGAATTTTACTTCTGTCATGTTTATTGACGCCACCGCTAGAATCTATTAAAAATTATTATTATTATTAAAATTTTATTATTATTTTAATAAGACGATATACAGGGTGTCCATATAATGGCGCACGGGATTTAGTTCCCTGTTGTATATTTATTTCTTAGTTATTTTTTTTAGCTGGTTTCAACCAAATAAAAAAATATTGAAATAGTCAAGTTACAAACCCTATTTCTGACAGTTTTAATCCCCATAATCGAATTGGAAAATGTCAAGGTGGAATTCTCAAAGAGTATTTCTTCAAATTGTTGCAAGTTTCCAGGAGATCCTTTGTACTCCAAGTACCAATCATTGTTTTTGCTTGATGATGACTTAAGGAATACTTCTACCCTGTACTGCCTTACCAGGAGCAATTCTCTTAAAAATTGTTCGAATTGGATTTTGTTTAAGGAAATGTAGCTCAGTTTAGGAGCGCTACCCATGTACTTTATGGGGTTGGAAGTGTATTCTCCTGCAAATGTCGCATCCTCTCCATGTAACGTGTAATAGTCGGTACGGTTAAAAAATCGCACAGTTGATGGTGGTTTCTAAAAGATTGTAAAAATAAAAAGTAAATGATGTATTAAAAATAAATTTTCAAAACAATTTTATTATTAGTGAATTAGTAAAATAAAATGACAAAAAGAGTAAATGTAAAATGAATATTTATTTATTTTTTAATTATTTGATAGTATTTATTTGGATGTAGAATGTTGGGACCAAAAAGTACCAAAACCAACTAAAAATTTAGATATTTTTATTAATAAACGAAAAAATAAATATTGACAATTAATTAAACAAGATGTTAAAATTGATTTAGTGAATTTCCTAATTAGGTTGATATTCCAGGACAACAATCGGGATTTCCTGGTGAAGTCATGATGATATCACAACGTGTTTTTTTTATCACGCTGTGATATCCTGAGTGCATACACATGCTTCATCGCAGTGATATCACGTAAAACTCACGGTGTGATATTTGCAAAATTTGCGCATGCGTATGAGCCCTGCGAACAGCGAATTTAAAACCTGTTTGTTATTCACATTACACCGTTATAATTTATAAAACGTTGTTTGAATATCACGAATGTTGTCCGGGTTCAATTAAAAAAGATATTCCAATGTTTAACAAAACGTGAACGTGAACGTTTTGTTAAACATTGGAATATCTTTTTTAATTGAACCCGGACAACATTCTTGATATTTATACAAACATTATGTCGTGATTTTCACAAATTTTATTCATACTGATATTATACGGAAGTCACCGCGTGATAAATGAAAATCATACGAACGTCACGTCGTGATTTTCACAAATTTTATTCATACGGACATCATCCGGATGTCACTGCGTGAGAAATTTAAATCATGTCGTGATTTTTTATGCCATCACTGTTTGCGATTGACCGATGGCCTAAACAATCACGACATGATTTTTTATGCTATCGGTGTTTGGGCATAAAAAATCACGACTTGATTGTTTATGCCATCGGTGCACCGACATGTTTGGATATTTATTTTTGCACCACATTCGTACATTGAAAGAAAAAGTATGTTAACAATTGAATTGCCAGTTTTTGCGGTCAAATACATTTAATATTTTCTTGGATGTAAATTAACTAATAATTTTAATCCAAAAAAATATTGAATGTATTTAACCACAAAAACTGTTGATGTAGGTATACTCTTATTCTCAATGTACGAATGTCGCGCAAAAATAAATATCCAAACACCGATGGCATAAAAAATCAAGACATGATTTTTTATGCCATCGTTGTTCGGTCATAAAAAATCACAACATGATTTTTTATGCCATCGGTGTTTGGATATTCATTTTTGCGACACATTCGTACATTGAAAGAAAAAGTATGTTAACAATTGAATTAACAGTTTAACATTCAATATTTTCTTGGATTTAAATTAACTATGGTTATATATATATATATATATATATATATATATATATATAGGTATTTAACCGCAAAAACTGTTGATTCATCATAATTTTTCTCTTAGTGTACGAACGTAGCGCAAAAATGATTATCCAAACACCGTTGGCATAAACAATCACGACATGATTTTCATTTCTCACGCCCCAAACAACCAGTTTACATTTTATGTACGTACATAGTACGTCGACCATCGACGTACCTTATATTTTACGTACGTACTGCGATATCTTATGTACATCCTAAGTACGTACTAAGTACGTCCAAATTCCACTCGATAATACGTTTTATGTGCATTTACTAAGTATTAAGAACGTAGTTTGTACATAAATAAATCGTACTTTTATTCCGTACACAGAAAATAGCTTTAGTTAGCCCAACCATTATTTGTTTGATTTAACTAAATACATTTGGTTGACTAAATAAAAAAAACATTTTTTTAAACCAATTTTTTATATTTTTCAAGAAACATGAATGTCCTTGACGCATTACTAGTACACTACCAGTGGTATTATTCCAGAATATTGAACCTTCGCTTTCTAGAGGAAATGTTTTTAGTGCGTTCCACCTACTTGAAATTATTCAAGTATTGACAGCTGTTTCCACCTATTTAAGGTCTCTTTAGGATCAAACAACTTGTATTGTCACACTAAATCTTTGTATCATGAAAGTAAAGGACTACCTGAGCTTATATATACTCTTCATGTAAGTCAACAGAGGCGAGATTTAAGAACATCACGTGATCCACACCGCCTTTGCCGCGATCGGTACACACTATGCAACCAGGAATACTTTAAAACATGCTTCTTTTTCTGAGGACATATACATAATATATTATATGTAAATATATATATATATATATATATTTATTACCACCACATATATTTTTTTACTATGTCTTGAGTTTATTCTCACTAGTCAACAAAAATTTTCATCATTTTCAAAAAAATCAATCCTTAAAAATAAATGATGACTAAATTCTTAGGTACTACCCAATTTAAATATATTCAAATAAAAAGGCTTGTATCTTGGATTAATGATAAATATGAGACATTCTTTTACAAATCGTACACCTATTTTGACATCAGGGTTTGGATTCGCATGAAATTTTTTTTACCGCTTCTATTCAGGAAATAAGCAGATACGTGTATCAGGTTTTCTGTAAAAAAATTGTTTTTTCAGAGATATGTTGATATAAAGTTTTTATGAATTGCGATAAAACGATAAATTCTCTTCTACATAAAACCCATTATCTCCGGTTCTACTGATCGGATCGATTTTGTTTTTTTTTTGTTTTAAACCTTATTGAATAGGCTTTTCAAATAAATAAATTAATTTTTTTTTTTTTTAAGTATAGGGAGTTAATAACAGATTAATTTTTTAAACTAGTTTTTCATGTTTGCCCCCTCTATAAAATAAAATGAAAAAAATACTATTTTATGCGCTTTTTCTTTATCTACAAAATACATTTTTCAGAACAGTGGAGACTCTTTTGGATCGGAAGATATTAAACATTTTCGAGCGCGTGACAGGACTGTCAAGCGCGTAATATTCAAACGTATTAGTGCATGTGGCGGGTGACGTGATATTTTGTATAAGAGTGCCATGATTCGACATCTTTTAATTGGTGACTTATTTGTGCAAATGTCAATTCTGCCAGTTAATAAATTTACGCATTAATTGGAGTTTGTATTATTTAAAATTTAATTTATTTAAAATTATTGAAAACCTTTAAAATCAGAATTAATTTAGAAAAAGCGCTGGTATTTTTTTAAAACGATGTATGAGTTTACACTATCCTAAATAGTGATGCCGCGAGACGAGACAAGACGAGAAAAGTCCTAATAAAAAAGACCACACTGATAAAGTAAGACTTTTTACGCCGAAAATGTCGCACATTTGAATCAAATGGTTGAATATATGTGGAGTAGTTACATATAATATATATTATATTATATTATAGATGTAACTGTAACACTGAGAAAAAAGTTTATTGCTCCCAAATAAAAAAAATATTTAAATATGGGACAAGGGTACAGTATATTTATCCTAAATATATTTTTATTCCCGACACATAAAGTTTTACTAAAGTATATTTGGACGGCTTTCTGCAGAATGGGACCAACCCACACCATGATGAAACTGAGAAAAAAGCTATCAAAGATTTTAATAATTTTAAAATTACCTGTTAATTTTATGCCGATTTTGGACTTACGGAGGTTTAAGGGATATAATTTAATAATTTCATCAGGTGGATTTTGTGATGTTATGTGTAAGGGTGACGAAAAAAATGGGCTTTTGTTGGTTGGTTCCTTTCTGCAATTTATGAAAACTACTATCTGATGTATGTATGTATTTAAAGAAAAGCGACAATTATTTATTTCCAAACAAAATATAACTGATATTACTATTATAATGGTAATATGAATTAATTTTGATTCTATTTAAAATTCGTCCACATCATCTTCTAACCCCACCTCATCTTGTAAGCTACCAAAAAAATGCATCAAGACTTTATATTTTGCAGAAGCAGGAAATCTTTAAAGACTTTGGTAGTGGGTCTACCAGCCTGTTTTTTTACAAAAAAGATCCAACCCACTTGCAGATATTCTACAGATTCTAATTCTGGATTAGTAATCCACACTATTATTGAATGTTGGTTGGTTCAATGATTAATACATTTCACTACACTTGCATTTTGGCTATGACCTATTTTGCAGATAAATTATACATACTTAATTAGTTCATAGGCTAAATATCTCGATTTTTTTGGTTTTGTGGGTTGGTTCCTTTCTGCAGAAAGGCGTCCATTTATCGTTATTATTTCGACTATTTATTTAGAGGTAATAAACAATATATTTACTATTAATAAAAGGATTAGCTACAAAGTTTATTTGTCCCATTCTTTTTCTCAGTGTAGTATATAGGCGCAGTAGTTTTCAGATGAATGGATCAAATCATCCATCCATCTGAAAACTACTGCGTCTATATGATGTAACTACTCCACATAGATCCAACCATCTTGTACCTACTGCGCATGTCCGTCATTTTGAATCCGCAATTTTGTTGTTTGAATGGATATCAAATTCTTAATCAGGGACCCCATAAATATCTAAATACTAAATTTTACCCAAACCATTAAAGCCGAACGACAAATTTTCGTCATATTGGATCAGCCATTTTATTTTTTGAAGAAATGGATATCAAATTTGTAATCAGCCCCTCAAAAACCACATGTTGTTGATAAGTTCATTGAATAAGCAATGCTTATTAAGCACGGGTTGTTTAATAGTATAAGGAGTGCCATAAATGTGCTTATACAGGGTAAATTTTAAAAATTAATATTATTTTATAAGTAATTTTTTTCTTGGTTAACCTTAAGTTGTGTTATAAAATAATAAAACGTTATACAGGAACAAATTTTGTTTATTATGAAATGCGAATAATAATCTCATTGGTCCAAATAAATATCGCAAAATTAAAATTTTTATGTAAAAAAATTGTTTACTTATAACCGGAATAATCGAGAGAACGAGAGAGATCGAGAGAAACGAGAAATTCTCGAGCGAGAGAGGGCTTTCTCTCGTCTCGTCTCGAGC